CAAGTAGCACTTATTAGTACATTATAAACCTCTTCTGAATTTTGCCTAATAGGACTCAATTATTTTAATACAATTAAGGTCTCCACTGGTTGCTATAAGCGGCATGTCTATGAAGTGCCTTCAGGAAAACATCTTCTGGATCAAGCTGCCATTGACAAGATTACTTGGGCCACATGGACTAGGTAAATATGTCATGCAGTATTGAGAGTTGATATGCCCATGTTAAAATCCCTTTGATTAAACATATCATGCTATCAATTTTTCAAGGTAAGGAAATTTGAGTTGAGACTATACAGGGGTTCTTCAGGCTGAGGATGACACAGTACTAGTGAGCACATCTGTGTGCCTGATCCTGGCACTGCCTGTCCGCTGAGCCCCACTAGGAGCATCCCAAGTATCACCAAAGAGCTTATTTAGTTTACATACTATTTTTTTAAATTCAGTTACCAAAATACGATTTTTCTGTGTGGTGAACTTGTTTACTATAGATTTGCTTTCATTCTTTCCCCTTAGCATTCTAGGAGATGAAGTTCTGGGCATCTGGTCCAGACATGCTGAGAAAGCAGACGTCAACTGTGCCTGTGTGTCCCATTCAGGAATCAACCTTGTTACAGGAGATGACTTTGGCATGGTTAAGTTATTTGACTTCCCGTGTTCTGAAAAATTTGTAAGTTTGTGTTTGGTGTCCTATTCCAAGAAAACTCATTTTTAATATATAGGAGCATTTAATGTACTTTTCCCTTTAAATGATATTAATATTCCCAAAATACAAAATAATCTCTTGTACTGTGAGAAACACACACCCACACACCCACATTCCACCCATTCAGCCACTGACAAAGACATTTCTGTTGTTTCCCTATCTTGTTTATTGTAAATAAAGTTGCAATGACTCTAAGAGTACATAAATCTTTTCCAGTTTTTCCATCCAGATAAATACCCAGAAGAGAAACTGAAGGGAAACTGCTGACACATACTTTTTTGTTTTTGTGGGGGCTGAGTAACACCTGGCTGTGCTCAAGGATCGGTTGAGCTCAGGCCACCATATGTGATGCTGGGATCAAACCTAGGTTGGCTGTGTGCAAGGAGTCTTACTCACTGTACCATGTGCTCTCAGAACTTTCATGCCATATCCCATAAGGGTTACACCCATAAGTCTTAATTTCACTCCCAATAAAAACTATCCACTCATTAATACTTCCCTCATACATACATAATAGATTAAAATGTTACTATCTCCTGATTTGAAAACATACTTTAAAATAATCAATTTTGGGGCTGGAGTGATAGTACAGTGGGTCCGATCAGGGTTCGATCCCTAGCATCCCATATGGTCCCCCAAGCATCCGACCAGGGTTCGATCCCTAGCATCCCATATGGTCCCCCAAGCAACACCAGGAGTAATTCCTGAGTCCAGATCCAGAAGTAACTTCTGAGCATCTCTGGATATGACTCAAAAAGCAAAATTATATGTATCTTTTTTCATTGAAGCCCAATCTGTGCTCTCCAACTTGAGCCGCATCCCCAGCCCCCAAATCACTTTCTACTTGGACTCCTAACTCTCCACCATACCCTCCAGCTTCCTAAAATACATTACTCAGAAAATAAATAAAAACTATTAAAAATGTTATTTCCTCCTGCCCCCAATAAACCTTTCATCAATTTACTACCGAGTTTAAAATGCTTTTCACAAATGGGCACTGGTGGAGGGATGGGTATTTGATCACTGTATAATTGAAACCCAAGCACAAAAATTTTTAAGTCTACAACTGTACCTCATGGTGTTTTACTAATAAAAATTTTTTAAAAAATGCTTTTCACCAGAAAGTCTTCATTACTACCTACAGATACTTGACTGCCCAAATCACCTGATTTTTGTTACGTGCCAATCCAGTAACTCAGACAGCATCCATCACTGGCTGTGATCTTCCTTATTTGTTCTCTCCAGAGCCCCAAGATAGAAATGCTGATGTCCAGTGAGAAATTTTGACATTTGTGTATCAAACATTCTGGAATTTTCTTCTTATTATTTTTCAGGCAAAGCATAAAAGGTTCTTGGGTCATTCACCCCATGTGACAAACATTCGATTTACCACTGGTGACCGACACGTGATCAGTGCTGGAGGAGATGATTGCAGGTCGGTAACCTGATCAGTGCAACAACACTAACTCCAATGGCTTAAGGTTTTGGGCTCAGCTAGTTAACATAAAAAGGCAGCATAACCAGATGGCCCCTTGCAGTCAAAAACTATGTAATACAGAATAAAAGTGACTTTTTCATACATGTCTAATCTGAAAGCTGAAGTAAATTGTTAAACTAATGAAAAAAATTTTCTCTGATTACAGTTTATTTGTCTGGAAATGTGTACATATGCCTCACTGAAAGAGACAGATGCTGAGAAGACTACGTGAATAACCTTGGAAGACCAGAGTTTTGAAGAGGAAAAAAACCCAGAACCAAACCCTTCATGGTCCAGTGGTGCTAACTCAAGATTGTAATGGGGATAAATGCCCAGAACCCAAAATAGCAGAAGAGTAGAGCTGAAACATCATAATGCTGGCTATAAGCAATGGACAACTCTCCATAACCCATACACTGCCAGAATTATTTTCCAAGAAGGATCAAATATTTGGTGAAAGCCAACACCCATGTTTCTGGGGAATGTTGTGCAAGTTTGGCCAGCTCACTGGGGAGATTAAAAGGATAAGCACTCCTCAAAAAACCAAAACCTTAAGAACCCAACTTGGGCAATTTTTATCATATTAGCATAAGTTTTTTTTTAATAGCATTTATATCTTACGGTCAATGCTTATTATGGTTTATCCTTCTGTTTACACAAGGAAAAGAAAAATACCATCACCCTACCCTAAAGGATCATAGTCCTAAAAGGCAAACATTTTCACTAAGGAGATATGAGGAAGCTTGACTGGAGAATATAATGCTTAAGCATTTATACAGGCCTTTCTCCAAAGGACATTTCTCCTGGCCATTTTAATTCAGGAACAGATACGGTATCACTTTCATGGTACCTTTTCTTTTTTGAGCTATCTTTTTATGTTTGGATGTTCAGTCATCTCTATGATTGGAAAATTAAAGTATGACTATAGCTCAATAATGGATAAGTATGATGAGCTGTTTTCAGTGGTGTAGTTTTTTAAGGTTTTAGATAGCAATAGTATTTCAGATATGGTCCTACATTTTTGTTCAACCTGCAACTTGAATTAAAAATTTCATAGATTTTCTTTTTTCTATTGGGAAATTTTAGATGCAGGCCACTCCATAGGCTGACTTCCAAAATGAATGAGTACACAGGTCAGGTCTGCTTACCAGATTTGGTAAAATTTCTTTCTGGTGGATCAGGGCTGAACTCTTAGATTCTTATTTCTCTTCACTTTAAATGCTGCCAAAGATCAGTACTTGCCATTCAGGAATTTGCTATTTAGCCTATCTGTAGTCTCCTGAAGACTGAAAATTATGTAGACTGCTATTTTAAAATATATTTTTCTAAATGTGAAAGTTGATGCTCTTCTATAGGTCCTAAATTTTATTTTAATGCATTATCTTTGTAGCATAACAAACCCTTCATATTTGTTAAAAAAAAAAGTTTTGACAAGGCACATTGGTTCCTGTATCTATTTTCTATGTCTAACATCTTATAAATATTAAACAGAAGTAGCTAAATTGTATTGTATCACAGAAACTCTAATCGGTGACTAATCTTCATCAGTTTTATGATTCTGAGTAATTAAGGATTTAAGAAGCATGAAATATAAGATGGTATTCTTTCATTATGGATTCTCTAAAATTAAGCCAACATTTAGAATTCAAGATTACACATCTATTCACATATATTATAAAGGGTCAGTCATTAAGGAAAAATGTCCCCTGAACCACTCTTCATTTATGAGCAGGTTTTCCTTCTGGGTCAAATTTGCCAGCTTCTGGTTAAAGACATTCCATTTCCAGAACAGTGCAGGTAGAAACTCTGTAACTATAAGACAGTAAGGGATATGATAGCCCTACTACATTTTTTGTTCTTCCAAGTGGCCAACCTGATAAATCCAGCCTTAACCATTGTTGATAGGTTCACAACTAAAACTCATGCTGGTTTTAAGCTGCTAGGTCATCAACTTTTTTTAAAAAAGGTCAATATATGTGAGAGGCCATATAGATTCTACCCTTTATTTTTTTAGCCCATATAATTATTTTTGTGTATGATATTTGAGTAAGCTCCACTATTTGTAACCTGAGACTTCTGGCGCCTTTAGCCCCACTCTGTATATAAATAAATGCATGCCAAAGCACACTGGTGCCACCCGCTGTGTGCAGCCAGCCACATTCATTTGTTCCCTTCTTTTCATGGTGGTTCATTTCAAAGCAAGTCAACCTCACCCTGCTTATTAACCATAACTGAGAAATAAGATTAAACTTAAATGTGTTTTCCAGGCAATGTCTAATTGGGGAGACGGGTGGGGTGGGAGTTCAGATTTAAGCATGTTATTTCTGGTAATGTGGCTGAACTAAATAACGTAAAGCCCGTATTTCCCATTTATTTATCTTCTGTAACTACATACCATTTATACATAACAACACAAAAAATCAGATTCTGGAAATAGAATTTCATTTCTCCTGCAGGAGAAACCAAGTGTTTTAAGTGATACTGGAGTGAACAAAATGCCTTAGTTCGATGGTATACACTTTCGTAATGAAGTATCATCTCACTCAGACCTCTGTAAATTCACAACAAATCATAACTTATAAAATGGCTTAGTATATAAATCTTCTCCCAATGGAAAAGCAATGGCAACCAAATAGTGTTGGTTTTATGCTCTAAATTCTGAACTTTTACATGTTTTATTATCCCTTGAGTATTTCACTAAAACAGAAACAAATTTTTATTTAAATAGTCCTGAGAATATTTAAATCTTTATCCCTTTTGCACTAATTTATTCTTTTCTATCCAACTTTCAGCTTTATTAAAAAAAAATACTACATCGTCTTTAGAATCAGTAATATTATTTAATTCTAAAGCATGACACATCTTGCCTTAACAATTTTTAAAATTACACACAAAACTCTGTATATTTAACTCAATAGTCCAGAATTACAGTCCTAATTAGCAGTTCACCATCTGACCTCTGAAATTATACAGTCTGCCATTTAAAATACACTATTTTAAATCTAATTTTACATTAAAAAATTATTCTTCGGAAATAACTATTTTCTGTGGACTTATTTCTGAGAATATTTTTCAGAACGTGAGTACATATGTATAGGCATCATCTTGTGAGTTTAAAATCTGTTTTCTATATCTTATGTATAAAAAGTTGTAAAAACTTTTGTGTAATTTTATGGTAATACAGTTCCCCAAAATAATTTTTAAAAGCATACACACTTACAGTATATGAAAGAAGTTTTAAGGAACTGTTTATAATTTTTTGCATTTGCCATTACAGATGTTTTCACCATATATGAAACCACCGCCTCACTCATCCCCACTCAGGAGGCCAGGAGACCAGTCACTGGGAACCTTTTATAGGCATTCAACCTGAGAAGCCTACATTATCATGCTTTTTGAACTAATCTCAAAAAAGATTAACTAGTTTAAGAGCCTTAGCACTTCTGGACACTTATTTTCATGGTCGATTATGTTTTACATGAAACTTTGGAAAAGTCAAAGTAGCAGCCCAACTTGTGAAATTAAGGACACTGCCCAACTCTCTTTTTTATACACATAGCAGCCAGCTCTCTGTAGAATATTAGTACTGATATCACATTGTAAATGCTGATACCTGAAACAGCAGTGTAATAAGCACACCTCAAATGTTTTAATAGAACTCAACTTTTCCTTAGACTGTCTTCATAAACAAAACAAAACAAACAAAACACACCCAATATTAAAACCACTTAATAAACCTACAAACTTGAAAAATTAGACACTTCAAATAGGCATAAACTTCATATTATGAAAGCAATATATTCCAAGTTTCAAGATATGACAAGTTCTGTAGAGTATTTTTCAGCAGATGGAAACTTTCAAACTCCATGATCTTCTGCCAGGTAGGACTGGGTGTTACTCACTGAACAAAACAAAAATATTTTAAATTAACTGCTTGCATTCACATGTACCATATTCCTCAACAGAGCAAGCTGAGTATTTTTCAGACACAGACAGTATTTGTTCTATAGGTTAAAACAAAAGACAACAGACATATAAAAGGTAGTAACACATAACTGAAATTACAAGTCAAACGAAAAAATCATTTAAAACTGCTTTCAATGTTTTACCATTAGTAATATCCACGAAACTGTTGAGATTTGTAACCAGTATTTAGCTCTTGGGAAGGCCTTGGTAGAAAATTCTAACCTGCCATAAACTACTTTTCCAAAGGGACCCTGGTACAATTCAACAAAGAGTCTAAAATGTTATTCCCCACCCCACCCCCGAAACTAGTATATATCTAAGATACTACTAATTAGGAAAGTATTTGAAATGACGCAAAACCTGATTTTAAGTATTACCTGGTTTGGGGTCGAATCCATTTCAAGGCATGTCGTGGTGGCACAGCAATTGTGGGATGATAAAAGGTGCAGTCAGGCCGTGTACACTGCGTGTTAAATCTACAATGCTGAATAAATAAGTGTTTCAGCAGGTGCAAAATACAAATAAACACAAATCTGAGATGACAGTAAACAGCCTACCCAAACATTTACAAGGAAAAAGATATTTTTATTGTGGGCCAAAGAGTGTAGCCTGTACAGGTAGTACTTGCCTTGCATGTAGCCAGCCTGGGTTTGATGCTGGGAACCCCCAATGATACCCTGAGCCCATGGAGTGATCCCTGAGCACCAAGTCAGGAATAAGTCCTCAGCACAGTCAGGTGTGGTTCCTAACACCCTCCCCCAACCCCCCCCAAAATACGTAAGATCTCTATCAGTTACTTATTTACTAAGTCTTGAAATCTTACTCAGATAAACAATAAAACTTCAAAGGGAGCCTTCACATACAATACAAACTTTCTCCAATCAAAAAATAAGTCATGAGGCTGGAGCAATAGCACAGCGGGTAGGGCGTTTGCCTTGCACGCAGCCAACATGGCCGATACAGGTTCAATTCCCAGCATCCCATATGGTCCCCCGAGTACCGCCAGAAGCAATTCCTGAGTCCATGAGCCAGGAGTAACCCCTGACATCGCTGGGTGTGACCCAAAAAGCAAAAAAACAAACAAGTCATCCCTGCACATTCCGCCCAAATCTCTGAGAAGCTTCACTTACTATGCCCAACTGTAGTTTGAGAAAACTAGAAAGCCTTTCAGACAAGTGATTACTATTTTGGGCTGGAGCGACAGCAAAGTGGGTAGGGTGTTTGCCCTGCACACGGCAAACCTGCATTTGATTCCTCCGTCCCTCTCGGAGAGCTCCAAAAGCTACCAAGAGTATCCCGCCCGCACGGCAGAGCCTAGCAAGCTCCCCGTGGCATATTCGATATGCCAAAAGCAGTAACAAGTCTCATGAGGGAGACGTTACTGGTGCCCGCTCGAGCAAATCGATGAACAAAGGGAGGACAGTGCTACAGCGCTACTATTTTGGACAGGTCCTACACAATGAGAAACTAAAGTGGGGAAATATCAACTAATCTTAATCCCACAGACAAAGCATCAGTCCAAATATGGATGCTACTGAAAAGTGCTATTATTCACGTCTCAGTTCAGGAATGAAGCCGGGGTGGGGGGGATCGGAGCGGAGGAAAAAAATCACCACGAAAGGCATGAGGAAACGTAAACCCCACTAGCAAGGTAAGGACTCAACATGAACAGTTTGAGACCACTTAAGGCAACAGATGGGGGCAAGATGACATTTCAATTTGCAGGGATTTTCTAAATCTCGAAATTCAAAAATTTTCATTAAATTCATGTTAAAAAAATAAGTCTTACTTTTGGATGATAGAAGGGACATTCCATTTTCTTACAAGCTGGGAAGTAACGGCAGAGCTGACTATTAGAAGGTGGTGTTGGTGTCGTAACTGAGACAAAAAGACAAAGATTAATTAAATTTACCTGACAAAAAGTTTTCCATTACCATATTAAGTGAGGGCTCATGGGACCGATATTAGCAGACAATGAGCAGGACAGAACACCGCTCAAATGGTAGAGCACATGCTTCGGGCACATCTGAGGTCCTGGGTCCAATGAATCCTATTCTCATGTTTCCATCCCCTCGATGCCAGAAGTAGCATAAAAACAGACAAGTTTTAACAAAAACAAATTAATAAAAAATGAGGTAGTTGGAGATCACTACTCATGGCAAGTACTTCAGAACACATTAAGATAGATTTGGCGTATTTGCCTCTTGCTTTAAAAACACTGACTCTGGCAGAATGATTTTTAGAACTGTTCCTTTTTAATTCAGTTACACTCTTAAAAAAAAAAAAAAACAAACTAAAACTAAGGCAGTTGTTCACAAAGTCACTAACCTGGTTTTGGAGGCAGGACTGGAAGCCTTCTACTCAGATGAGTAAAGGGACAATCTGGTTTCGTACACTTTGCATCATATTTACAATTTGGATGAACAAACAAACATTTTTCAGCAAACTTACAATTGGGGAAAGCTCTATTAAAAAAAAAAGAAAGATTATTCACACTCGTGCTCCACATTTTTACTCTTTTTAAGAGGGATGTTACTGGTTTTGAGAAGCAGAGAAATATCAAAGAACAAAGCAATATTTGATTTCTTAATGTTAAGCCTGATATCAAAATAGGGCATGACAATCTATCCCAAAGCCTAAACAACATTATTTTTTCAACTCATCCCTAAGCCATTATGAAAGACAGAAGGGGGGAGGAGAGATTTCATCTATACAACATTAAAAAAAAATTTTTTTTTCTCAATTGAAAACTAAAACCGGGGCTGGAGTGATAGTATAGTGAGTAGGGCATTTGCCTTGCACACAGCCAACCCCGGTTTGATTTCCAACATCCGATATGGTCCCTGGAACACCGCCAGGAGTAATTTCTGTGTACAGAGCCAGGAGTAACCCCTGAGGGTCCACCTGAGCATCACTGGGGGTGGCTCAAAAAGCCAAAAAGTAAAATAAATAAATAATTCCGAAAACTAGAACTATCCCCCAAAGTTCATTCCACTAAATCATCTAGAAAGATAAACTTCACCCTAGTCCAAAATATTTCTTCATGTATAACTTTTCCCCCAATGCCTTAAACTCAATGTATACCTGTATACCTCTAGAAACAAAGCATACAAACTAGGGCAGATATCCCATTCTTCTTGAACAGAGAGAATTCTCAGGAAGCTGTTCTTTCGATATATTCCATAGGTCTGAGACAAGTAGCCTCCTACCATCATCTCCCACCAGCCAATAAGCAAGGATATTAATCTGCTCCACTGGAGAAGGTCAGAGAAAGCATCACTGCCTCGCGCTGTCCATAGGAAATCATAATAAACTATTAAGAAATTAACCTGAAACCAGGGTAGATTTGCAACTACTTACTTGCAAGGTGAAACCGGATGATGATAAGCACACTCATCCCCATTTTTACAGGCAGGCCAATACTTGCACCTCTCTAAAAGCTTTTCTGGTTTCTGTACCACACTCAGTTCGCTCATCTCAGCTGTAAGAGGAAAAGAATTAAAAGCATCTCATTAATCACGATCAATTCAGTATACCGAACCTCTAACAAAAGTCCCTTAACAGTTCTCGGGCCCGAGCAGTATAGTTCAGTGGGTAGAGTGCTTGCCTTGCACAAGTCAATAAAATGGAAACAAAAAAGGTACAGAAAAGGAGCTTGCCTTGCACACTGGCATCACATATGGTGAACCAAGCAATGTCAACAGTTATTCCTCAATGCCAAGCTAGGAGTAACTCCTGGGCACTGTTGGGTGTGGCCCAAAAACAAAACAAAAAGATGTATTTTTCAAACTATTTTCTTCTGTGTCAACAGTCACAGAAAATAAACGAGGTCTAAGGGTCTGATTAACACTAATAAAAAAATTCCTGTAAAAGATTATTAGGAAGTAAACTTCCATTCTGACTGAGAGAAGTAAATGAACAGTGGGATTCCAATAGAGTAAAAATTCTTACCAAAAACTCAAATTCCTATTTTTAGAGCTGCACTAATGTAAAAGAGAGGAAAGATGACAATGCAGGAAGTCAATAAAATGGAAACAAAAAAACAAGAGGACAGAAAGGGAGTTTGCCTTGCACACAAACAAGGGTTTGATCCTCAGCATGGCACACGGTCCACTTCACCCCTGCCAGGAGTGATCCCTTAGCACCACCCGGTGTGGCCCAAAAATGAAAAATAAAACCAAAAAACTCTATAAACACAAACTGTATGATTAAGTATAAATTCATATTTTCCCGTTTACTCAAGGAAAACAGCGTTCGCAAATCCAAGGCACTAGTTCACATGAATATCCAAAGAGGGAGGGAAGATTTTTACCTCAAAAGGTAAGCTTCAGCAGATCAGCCAGATGGAGCCTGGCTGGTGTCAGATGACCCAAGGTAGAAAGTTCTAAGGTGGAGGAAGACTCAAACACTGGCAAGAGCCAGCCCTATCCCCACAGCACACAGCAGCTCACTCAGTACATGACGATGCACATGAATGCCAATTACTTTCACACAAACAGTTTCATTTTTCAGAAAGCCCCGCAAACCTTCAGGCAATACATATGAATTTTAAATGCTGGCAAAGAATTCAATTTAAAATAAAGAAGCCAAAAATAAAATTCATATAGAACTGGCACAAGGAGGGGTGACAATTCGTGCCCCGTCATAAGTTCTAGACACCCCACCCCCGCCCTAGTTATCATGAAAGCTAGGGTAACAGACAAAAGCAAGCATCACACTTGCAACCGTATCTCTCCACATCTCTTGCCTCATCCAGTTCAGACATGCAAATTTGGTTCTGTAACTTACTGGCGCTCATTCATAAGACACCTAGCAAATGTTAGATCAAACTGTGAACTTCGGTTTCCTCAGTTATAAAAAGGGAAAATGTCTTCCTTTTAAGATTATGTGAAAACAAGAGAAACAGGCAACCAAGAATAACCTAAGAAGCATAGCAATTAGTATTCTAAGGACATATTACTCCTGGGTTTGAACCGCAGGCTTATGTCCAGGAGAGGAAAACACACAGATGCAGACAGGAGCAGAAGCTACTACTTGATAATGTTTTAAAAAGAACGAGCAGCTGGGGCTGGGGGAAACAGCACAAAGCCTGGGGCATACTTCGCAAGCAGAAGGTCCAAGTTCAATCCTCAGCACCACACGAGCCTCTGAGCACTGCCAGGAGTGACTCCTGACTGCTTGGAAGGCCCAGCAAAATAAGATATAGCAAAGCGATTGAGTAGGTTATAAATGTGGGTATGCAAGAGGCTCAGGTTCAACCCTCACCAATGTAAGGTCTCACCCCACCACCACCAACAACTGGCATGACAAGCTCAAAGTGGCCCCTAAGCACCACCCCAAAACTTTTTTAAGAAAGTTTCTTTAGTCTCAAATCAAACCAGATAGGGCCAGAAGAAACAGTTTCCATAAAACCCAAGTTGTGTTTATATCACCATGCAGAGAAAAGTGCCTTACCCTCCGGAAGAAAAGGCTCTGTGTTTTTTCCCAATTTATTTGGCCTATGGTGCCCTTTCCGGAAACCACTCAGTACCGCCCCCACCCCCGGAAATCTACATTAAGTGAACAAAGTGCCCCCCAACTGCATCCAAGGCTACTATCACTTTAGTGCTTCTCCCCAAACTCCTGGCAGATCAGCCACCCACCCTGTGAAATACTGCTTTAGACCGGTGTGTCTCTCAATTTTTTACTGACTACAGCCCCTTCTGACCTTTTCTACTTCCTGTGCCACCCCCACCTCCATCCTACTGGCTGGTCACCTAATCTCATGCTGTGCCCCACCACCCTATTTACTCTATTTTCATCCATGGCCCCTCAAAATCTCCTGGGGTCCCCATGGGATACACAACAGCATACCTGGACCGGAGAATGCAGGCCAACTGAAACAAGTTAAAAGAATACCAGAAAACAGACCAGTAGTTAAGATACTCCCAGCAAGATAGCACTAAACACACAAAAGCTTTATCTGATGAAAATGATACATCCCAACTTTGCTTTTAATAAAGCAATTCAACATTTTCCGTTGAGGCCAGAGGGGCCAGGCAGTAAGGCACTCAACCTTACTTACATCCTGCTGACCCTGGCCCCAAAGCCCAACACCACATATTTTGTGCCCAACCTTGCCACCCAACCCAATAAAACCCCCAATATTTTCTGTACCTGTTTATAGAGAAAAATTTACTTTATACTGCAAGCAACAAAATCTATACTGCCTGTAGGGTGGCTTAAAACAGATGCGTCTATGAAACAACAGAGAAGAAAAACACCAAAAGCAATTACATGGTTGGGGGAAACAATGTAGAAACTATTTCCTACAATCTCTGGCACAGCCGCACTGATCCTGAACAGAGAGATGTGACCTGGCTGGCTATCTCTGGAAAGGGTCACTCGCCTCATGCATCATCTAGCTCTTAACAGCTACTAAAGATGAAAGCAACAGTAAAGGAGGCTCGGCTTTCTCCGCAACGGGCAAAGCACAGTTCTTATTTGGCCTGGACATGAACCTTTTTTTTTTGCTTTTTGGGTCACACCCGGCGATGCACAGGGGTTATTCCTGGCTCTGCACTCAGGAATTACTCCTGGCGGTGCTCGGCAGACCATATAGGATGCTGGGAATTGAACCCAGGTCGGCCGCGTGCAAGGCAAACGCCCTACCCGCTGTGCTATCACTCCAGCCCCTGTACATGAACTTTTACTAACATGTTACTGTGTCGATGCTATGACAAATATACCAACAAAGCCTACCACGAACATATTCCTTTCAATAAAATTACGATCCTGGGGCCAGGCTTGTTGCTCAAATGGTAGCAACACATACCTTGCATGGGTGAGGCCTTGGGTTCAACCCTAGCATGCCCCTAGAAATTACTGTTAAGGGGTCGGAGCAATAGCATAGCGGGTAGGGCGTTTACCTTGCACACAGCCGAACTGGGTTCGATCCCCGGCATCCCATATGGTCCCCCAAGCATCGCCAGGAGTAATTCCTGAGTGCAAAGCCAGGAATAACCCCTGAGCATCACTGGGTGTGACCCAAAAAAGCAAAAAAAAAAAAAGAAAGAAAGAAATTACCGTTAAGTCTGGCCTGGTGGTCCCTTGAACCAGAGCACCATCCGAGACATCCCCCAAGGACAGCCAGTAGTCATCCGACAACGAACAATAATTGTAAGAAAATTGGAACCTAGATATACAAAACTTAAGCCACCAAAATAAAAAGAAAAAAAAACATAATTTTCCCATAAATTTAGACCAAATACATAGGAATCAAGAAATCAGCTCTGCTGGGGACAGTGATAATACAGCAAGCGCCCTTGAACACAGCAGACCCGATTCAATCCCCAGCATGCCATGGTCCCCCATGCATCACCACGATTGATTCCCAAGTGCACAGCCTGGTAGGAAGCCCTGAGCATTACCAGCAGTGGCCCACAAACCAAACAAAATTAAAGAAATCAGTACTGCATGACTATTACAGTACTTACCATCTTTCTGACCACTCAAAACTGCTCCTTCTAGGCCTGATTCCCCATCCCAAAAGGTTCCCCACTATGCACTACATTAGAACAGCCCCAAGCACCCTCTCCAGATTTTTCTTCCTTTTGTTAGAATTTTTAAGCCCTTCACCAAACAAAATCATGCATCACATCAATGACTCAGAACAGAAAAAAAAGCGTTTAGCTCTAAATAGTAATTATTGATGTTACTATACTCATGCATGATCTCCCCCTAAAGACTATACTTTTTTCTTTTTTTGGGGGGGGGGGTTCAAATCCAGTTGTGATCAGGGCTTATTCCTGGCTCTGCACTCACAGATCACTCCTGGCAGATCTCAGGAAACCATAAAGGGTGCTGGGGATAGAGCAGGAGTCAGCTGCATGCAAGGCAAGTGCCCTACCAGCTTGTGCTATCACTTCAGCTACTCTGGTTTATATTTTTAATGACTAAGATATTTAATATTTGCCTAATGCTGCCAAGAACTGCTTTCGAAAAATCTCAACCCACGATGATATTCTTAATACTACTCAGTCTTAATGTTCAGGTTTTTTCACCCCTGCCTAAGAAGTGTTTCTAGAAATGTTAGAAGGTGTGAGGAGCCATTATTTCCTATCATGAAAGAAAATGAACAGCAGTGTTGCAGCTGCCACTGGCAACAAGGGAACCATAAACCACAGCAATAGTACAGCGGGTAAGGGACTTGCCCTGCATACAGAGAGCCTGGGTTCAATCCCCAGCAGGGATATGGTACTCCAAGCACTGCCAGGAGTCATTCCTGATTGCAGAGCCAGGAGCAGGCCTGAGCATCACCAGTGTGGCCACAACATACACATACACCCAGAGAGAAAGAGAGAAAGGAGGAGTGGGAGAGGGAGATGGGGGTCAAGGGAGTGAGAGGGAGGAAGAGGGAGGGAGAAAGAGAGAGAGGCAACAATAATAAGGCTTGCCTGCCTCAAAGTCAGTGAACTGAGTTCATGTAAAATTTATATTTCAACACTAATTTTCACAGATCTTTCATAAAATTCTAATTCTAAATTCATTCACCTGTCACCTCAATGACAACAGAGTATTAGTGATTGGTGACACGGGGGAAAATAGTTTCTAAGGGTGGGGGGGAGGCAAACAAGGCACTAAGAATGATGGTTCACTTTTATAACAAGCATAATTAAGAGATAATTTTGGCTTCTACAGCTGAACTCCATTTTAGCTGGAATAATAGTCTGCTGCAAAATATATACAGAAACAGTCTCAAATTTAAGCAGATATTCTGTCAGGAAAAAGAAGAAAAAGGCCACTACTGAATTACAAATGGAAGCAAGGTCTCCCACTAACGTTCATTCAAAGGAGCGAAGCAGGTCAAAGAAACATGTCAAAGGTTTCCTGCACAAGGACAGCACCCAGAAAAGGTAAAATCTGAGCTCTCAACACACCGTTTGAAAAGCTACCATTTGGGTCATCAAGCTGCCTGCTCATCAGCTGCAGCTGCTGTGGGTGGAGGAGACCTTTGAGTCCCTTGTTTGAGGCTGCAGTTTGGTTTACAGGTTTCATTCCTTCAAAGCACATGTCCTCCTCTTGATCTGACATGTATCCTGGGGGGCTGGGGACACCATCCAGCGTCACTATAAACTTGGGACTTGCAGGTTTATCTGGTTGTACAAGATCTCTGCCAGACAGATAGAAAATACCAAAGAATTAGGGAAACAAACATAAAAAAAAAAAGCTGAGCCTAAAAGTATAAAAGTGTGCTTCAGCTGAACTACCTCAGAGGCCTCTCCAGAGTTGAGAGAGAGAGAGAGAGAGAGAGAGAGAGAGAGAGAGAGAGAGAGAGAGAGACTGGGTAAAGCTTCCAAGCAGATCATTAGTGGATTCCTGCTACCACCAGGTTACAGTCAACCACTGTGGCATCATCTCCCCTCAAGCCTGACCTTAGTCCATCTGCTCCTCAAAGGTCACAGAGAAATGATCAGAATACAATAGCCAGAAGTTCTCTTTGCTCTATTATTATGTCTGTTTATTTCTTTTTAAAACATTTAGTCCATTTTGGAAGAATCACCCCAACCTAATCTGTTCTCTCTAGAGATACCCTGATTTTGTATCACCTGGCTTTTAAAATGTCACTTCCTAGGTGAGCATAAAAAAAGAAACATATTAACAGGGCTAAATCATACTGAGTTCTCTGTAGGTTAATGGACTTCTCAATAAGAAAGATGAACTAGACTTTTTCAAAATATATCTTGGCTTGCAATCCCTGGCCCAACTCTTAAACCACTAAAGCGGTCTACACTGGGGATTAGGATGGGAAGGAGGGAAGCTGGAAACGAATGGTTAACCTGCACTATCTAATCAAAACAAATAAGCTACACAAGAAAAAGAAACAATCTACCGTGTCTGCAAAAGGTGTCCTGAAAGTACCCGAAGGGAATCTGCAGTCTTCATGCCCGCCTCTTGGTGTGGTGCGACTACTATTTCCTCAGACAGCTTTGGCTTCTTCAGAATAAATGATCTTGTGTCTGCATGGACCATGGATTCCATGTCATAGTAATCTGAGCCAAAAAAATTGGCCACAAATGTTTACTATTGAATATACCTCGCATTCCCCGACATCACACATGTGAAAAAAAGAGTCAATCTTTTATATATTCTAATTATTTTCAAAGGAAAAATTACAGTTGTTCTACTCAGGAATTCTCTTCAGAAACTTATTCAGCTGCATTTTTTTTTGTGTGTCAAACATCTTTAAAAGTGTTCCTTTCCTTGTAGAAAACATTATCATCAAGGGATTATAACGAACATTTCATGTCTACAGTACAAGTTTCCCTATGAGGCATCTAACAGGATATTAACAATATAAACTTGAAAAAACAGTATTTTCTAAAACCATGGAGAAATAGCGTTCTAATGCTCCCTAAACTTTTGATAGACTTAAAAAATATTTTAAATCTCTTTTCACCTTGAACAGTAACTCAGAGAATACATCCTGATGAAAAGGATTCAAATGGCTTTCTGGTTATAAAGATTATCTTGAAAGAAATTTTTACAATAAATAGGTAATACAACAAAGAAAACAGGATTCAATGAAAATAAACACAGCTCACATCATTTACAACATGCTATCAAACCTCACTACGTTAATACAATAATACGAAAATCTGGAAGACAGAATGGAGAGGCATACCAATCAATATGCCCACCACCCAACTGACAAAAAATAATCAATTGTATATTCTATTGAACAGGAAGTAACAGAAATCAAAATTCATAGGATATTTCATTCATGGTTTTTCACTGAGCAAAAATTTATTTAACACCTGAGAGCACTGTGCAATACAAAAAGGATTAATGGAAAAATAGGTGTATGCATACAAAATTTCCTAAGAGTTTGCTCCAGAACAGGCATAAGCAAGGTGCTGAGAGAATACAACTTATTCCAGCTGGGGAGTCAAAGAAAAGCGCTTGCAGAGGGATTAAAAGAATAAACAGGAAGAAACTAGTAGGAAAAGTGAATTTAAGAACAGAGAGAGCACTTCAGGTGAAGGAAGGCACAGGAAAGCTGGAGGCATTTCTAAATCCTCAGACACAGGGAACTGGAAGAATGTTGAGAAATGAGGTGTGGCTGTGGGGGGTGTGTATAGTGAACGGAGGTGGTGACTGCAACGAAGATGAGGCTGAAAGTATGTTGTGTATGCTAGAGAGTTTGGATTCTAGAAGGAACAAGGAATTAAGAAAAATTTACATGCAAATTATGGGAAAAAAAACTGGTTTTTAAAAAAGTGTTAAGAATGGACTGGAAACCTTGATCTCACTTCTGAGAAACAGTATGTGGAAAATGATCACACTAAATGAGGAGAAAGATCAATGGACTGAGCATGTGTTGTCATGCAGGATGCGCAAGTTTGAAGGCTGGGTCAATCCGAGCACCACATGGTCGCCCAGGAAGTGACTCCCAAGCAGTAAGTCAGAAGTGACCCCAAGCACTGTGGGTCCAAAAAAAAAAGAAAAAGAAAAAGAAAAACTTAAATTCTTAAATTAAATAACTAAATAGATTCATACGGGATAGATAGTTCAAAGGGGCAAAACACTTGCAATACAGAAAAGAAGTCTAAAGAATTTGATCCATGGCACCACATGTTCCCCTCAGAGTCAGGAGCAGCCCCTAATACAGTCCTCTCCCTGTCCCAAAGAATTCTTACCCCTTACCCTATTTTAACAGAACCAGGAGGTAAAGAAAAAACAATCCACCTTCCCATCAGTACCAGCATTTACCGGCAGTTGCATTTCCAACTACCACCCTAGGAGACCTAGCTTTCTTCCCCTCCAAAGGCAGTAGAGCTCAGAGAAATATGAGAGGAAATGGAGGAGAAGAGAAAGAACAAACTTTTAAGTACATTCATTATCTTGGGGAACTCACCCTCATCTCAACTTGGCAGTCTCCCTTCTGAAGGAGAGCTCATAACACTTTCTTATAGTTTCTTACTCCTTAAAGAAGTCCTTAAGAAGCACTTTGATTTCAAAAAAAAAGATAGAAAAATGCCATGCCTCCAAACAGACTTCATCATCCGAAACCAAGGTCACCAAGAACTAAACCTGCCAAAAATTTTAGGTATTCGGGTCTTTGTCACTGAAATCACCAAGCTTTCTCCCAAAGTCATGATGGCTACTTTCCCACAACTCCCTAAACGTCAAGAAGCCCCAGCAGTCATGCCCACGAACCACCTCCAGCACGGCCATGTAAGCTCACCTACTGGCCCTGCTCCAAACTCATACCTAAATCTTGAAAGAGATCAACCAGCAGCCAAAAGAATTCAATCACCCACTTATGGCTGAGATATCCAGGGCACCTGGGGGGGGGTCAGGCGGGAGGGGGTGTCAGTGTCCAGTGCCTGCCCAAACAGAACCCAGTGAACAATCACCATTTCCACACTCCAAAATCGCAGCCATGCCTCTGACCAGGCTCATCATCTCGAAACTGAGTTCACCGAAAAATTAACCTGCCAAGAATTTAGGCTAATGACTCAAAAGTAAGAGAAACCTCCGGACAAGAACTAAGTGCTGAAAGTAGGTAAAGGACCAAACATGGGCCATGGGCCAGAGCGATAGTACAGCAGTTAGGGCGTTTGCCTTGCATGCGGTAGAGACCCAGGTTGGATCCCCAACATCCCATATGGTCCCCCGAGCACTGCCAGGAGTAATTCCTGAGCATCGCTGAGTGTGACCCAAAAAGCCAAAAAAAAAAAAAAAAAAAAGACCATACATGATAACCTTTCATTATCTGTACTGCAAACCCATATGCCCAAAAGGAAGGAGGGAGAGAGGGAGGGAGGGAGGGGAGGAGGGGTGGTAAAGAGAGAGAGTGCATTCCAGAGGCAGGCTGGAGGGTGGGGTCGGGGCAGGAGGGAAACTGGACACATAGGTGGTGAGAAATTTACACTGGTGAAGGGACATGGGTGTTGGGACACTGTATGACTGAAACCCAATCCTGAACAACTTTGTAATTGTGTTGCTCATGATGATTAAATTAAAAAAATCTAGAGAGAAACAAATTTCAATTTTAGATTTATTAGGTTTGAAGTCTTTGTGGGATTCTTAGATGTTTAGGAATTTATCAGCGCTGATATTTGGAGGGGGGACTAACAAGTGGAAAGCGGGGCCTGGAGGTAACAGATGTAGTTAGGTGCTACCATCTCCCATTACATCCTCAGTGCGCCCAGGAAGAAGATCTTCCCTGTGTTAAAGATGACCATATTCAAATGAGCAAAGGCAGAATTCAGAATTGGATCCAAGACAACCTACTCTCCTTACTTCTCACTGTCCTCTACTCTTCCAGGCAAAGCTCTTGGGAAAATACGAAACGGATGAATGTAAACAATGCTGAAACTGGACACAGTAAAGCTAGGTTTTTTGGGTGTTTTTTTTGGGGAGGGGTCACACCCGGCAGTGCTCAGGGGTTACTCCTGACTCTACACTCAGGAATTACTCCTGGCAGTGCTCGGCGGACCACCTGGGATGCTGGGGATGGAATCCGGGTCGGCCGCATGCAAGGCAAACACCATACCTGCTGTACTATAGCTCCAGCCCCTAAAGTTAGTTTTTTAAGGTGATCAAGAAGCATAAAATGGGAGCTGCAAAGACTGTACAGTGCATAAAGCGCCTTCTATGTCGCTAACCCAGGTTCAATCTCCAGAATCCCATAGGTCATGTGAACCTGCCAGTGGTGATTCCTGAGTACAGAGCACCCTGAGCACCACTGGGAGTGGCTCAAAAACAACAAACATAGGAGGTAACAGGATAAAAAGGTTGAAGAATAGGAGCTGAAGCAGTGAAACAGCAGGCAGAGCACATTCTTTGTACAGCCAGGCTAGGTTTGAGCCCCAGCACCACATAAGGTCCTCTCACCCGAACAAACGTGATCCCTTGGGTCATGAATGCAGCCCGGGGGGGTGGAATGACAGGGAAGAAGGGGGGGAGAGGGGGAGAATTAATTACAGGGATTAGGTGCCTACTTTACTTGAGAACCCTACTTTAGAACACCTGCCATCAAATATGGTCCCTGAGCAAAGGGCTGGAGCAAACAGCACAGTGGTAGGGCATTTGCCTTGAGTGCAGCCAGCTGGGCAGAGCCAGGTTCGATTCCTCCACCCCTCTGGAGAGCCCGGCAAGCTACCAAAAGTATCTGGCCCGCATGGCAGAGCCTGCTCCCTGTGACATATTCAATATGCCAAACACAGTAACGAATCTCACAATGGAGACGTTACTGGGCCTGCTCAAGCAAATTGAAGAACAACTGGAGGACAGAGACAGTGAGCAACGTCAGGGGCTACTGGGGAGGGGGATGAGGCCACCAAACAGTACAGGGTTAAGGAACTTGCCGTGCATGGAACCAACCGCAACTTGACCCCCCACCACCATAAGGCCCCCCAACCTAGTATTGCCAGAAATGATGCCTGGGGGGCCCAGGAATAAGCCCTAAGCAAAAAAAGGTAAAAGGTAACATTTACATTTTTAAGTGGAAACTAAGTAGATCTTCAAAAGCTGCATCCTAAGCCAACACTGAAGCAATTCAGTAAGAACTCAAGAGATTTTCCAATTGTCTACAAAACTAGCAGCGTAGGCATACAGTAAAGTGGAAGCCGGGAGTGTTCTGATAGGCCGTGTGTGCAATTGCCCGCTGGAGAAGCAGTTCACCCTCAACTCCATCATATTTTCATTTGGCTCCTCACAGGTACCCCCGACCTCTATACTGAAGGCATATTCATCAGTGTTGCAGAGGCCGGTGGGTTAAGAATGCATCAAGGTCTCTGACTGGAGAGTGGACAACCAAGGAACTAAGAAATAAGAAAAACTGTTAAAAACAAAAATCCTGGTAAACCTGGATCATTTTCTCCCTTGGAAAATTAAAGATTTCTCTTAGACTCTTGAAAACGCAAAAAACAAAGGATCTTTGGGCAAAGGATGCCAGTCATATTGAAAGCAGAAGTATCCTTCTGAAAACAGGGAATGGGATTAAGTAATCATGATTATAGTAGTTAAAGTGGAGGTACGTACCCCGCCCCCCAGGTCACTTTCCCCACTTAAGATCCCAGAACCCTTACAGCCAGTCTATGACTTGAAAGGTCTTTCTTGGACTGGAGAGACAGCATAGCATGTAGGGTGTTTGTCTTGCACACGGATGACCCAGGTTCGATTCCCAGCAAACCATATGGTCCCCTGAGCACCGCCAGGATTAATAACTCCCGAGTGCATCGCCAGGTGTGACCCAAAAAGAAAAAAAAAAAAAAAAAAGAAGTCTTTCTTGGGAGAAGTCCATCAATCTAAGTGAAGAGACTACAGACAGTCACATAAGGGGCCCACAAACTAGATCCCTTTCCAACCTATATTTGAATGTAGTCAAAAGTTCTTCACTTCATCACCAATTGAGATTATAATCTACTTTTTAGTTCCACACTCAAATAAAACAACCCCAGACATCTGAGGAAAACTCATGAAAATCATCAAAACAAAGGACAAAGGAACAAACATTTAAAATGACTTTTAACATCCTTGAGGAAAAAGAAAATGACTCATGAAAATGAACTTTCATTTAAAAATGTAAACAGATATAATGAGTATGTAGAAACAAAGAGGTCCTCAGAAATAAAACATGATAGGAGGAGGTGAATGAAGAAGGTAATCATGTCTTATAAAACTATCTGATGCTTTAAAACTGTGCACTGTGGGTAAAAGTAAAAACCAAAGAAAACAAAAATATACAAAATCTGATGGAATAGATACAATTAATGCTAGCTTAAATGCCAAGTATTGTGAAAGAAAATAGTCTTATGGAGAAGACAAACTGGAATGCTGTAAGTGAGCGGGCAAAACTAAGGGTAAAGAACAAATACTTGGAGGGAGAAGGGCCAAGTCAGAACAGAGGCAGAAATTAAAGTTATAAGCAAATGCAATGCCAGAAGTGTTCCCCACTAACTAGAACCTGGCATCTACAGGTGACCCTTTGAGGGGTTAATCACATCTTTCTGAAACAAAAAGCTTTTGGGAAAAGATCAGGAACTATTAATGGTAGAGGCCTGACCTAGTGGGAAGACATCTCAGTGAAACACTTATTTGGAAAGCAGGGAGGGGAGAGGAAACTGCAAGAAAGATTTAGGGTTCCGTGTATCTAACGGCTCTCTTCCATAGACATCAGACAAGAAACCAGCAGGGGCTGGGCACTGACATACAGAACAATGGCAGTAGGCTCCAGTCCTGAAGTAGCCCATATACATGTCTGTGTGTTGAAAAGAAAGACAGAGAAATCATTAGTCTTTTGAAGACTAATAAGTTCTAGGTGTGGTCCTAGCAATGAGATTTGAAATTAAAGTGACAATAACGTTGTTCTTTAGGACACTGAAGCAGCTTAGGGAAATAGCAAGTTAAGCAGAAGGAGAGACTCAAGTCATCAAGCCATTCTGAAAGCAGGAAACGGAGTCAAAAGTTCACATTTGAGGACATCGTGTCAAAGTAAGAAAAATTTCAAATGAGGTGGATATACAAACACCAGAATGCAAACGAAAATAAAAATCTTGTCTCCTAGCCCTACTAAAATAGTTTCACAAATCTACGGCTCTAGGGAAGAATCTAATTGATACAAGATACATTAAATGAGGTGTAAGAAATGGAAAGAGCAACTGAAAATGCTAGATTACAACGGAAATTTAAGATTACTACCGACCTTGACTGAGTTGCAGATTTTCTGCCATTACTGGGTCAATTTGCAGTCGGGATAACAATTGCCTCTGCTGAGTTCCTAGAATATAAATTTTAACACTTCACTAAGGTTAAGACACAAAATCAGCACGTTCCCCAAAAGTCAGGTCCAACTTGTTGACAAGTCTTATAAAATCTTTAGTAACACAAACTGTTAACATCTATAGACCAAAGCTCTCTAAAACAAAAACGTACTGAATGAACCAAAAAGTAAAGTTTAGGACATCCCAGGTCTCCATAGGATGCCAGTTTTCTTGCATTAGAAGAAACAACACACCGCGGAATTAAAAAAAGACAAACTCTGGGAGGCAGTTCAGTTCCTCTATCAACAAAGCATGGAAACAACCATTTCCATCTCCCATAAGAAGATGCTCAGCTAAAATATCAATTCTTGAGGCTGGAGTGATAGTCCAGCAGGTAGGGCGTTTGCCTTGCACACGCTGACCTGGGTTCGATTCCCAGCATCCCACATGGTCCTTTGAGCACAGCCAGGAGTAATTCCTGAGTGCATGAGCCAGGAGTAACCCCTGTACATCGCCAGGTGTGACCCAAAAAGCAAAAGAAGTAAATAAATATCAATTCTTTAGCAAGATTATACTCCCTCAGTTATAATGCCAAATAAGAATGAACAGTGCAGAACTGACTTTCTCTACCTTCAATCTGATGGTAAGTTCTTTGAGAAACGAATAGGTTACACTTCTCCAAAGCTCACACTTCCCACTGCTTAGCTGATATTGGGTACTAACTTGCCAGTTGAAAATGAAAGTACTGCACCACAATGTTCAAAGAGGTGTGATGGACAAGGTTCCAAATACTGCAATATTAATAAGATGCTTGCATGGTAATTCTTAGTGTATCTGTTTCCAGTGGCTTCACAAGCACTAGCATCTGTATAAGTATGTACCCTGGCCACCTCTGTCCTGCTACATTTCATTAGAAGGTATTTTTAGGGGTAGGGTTAAGAACTCCAGAATCACACACATCTACCCCCAGCCCCACCCCTACACATACACACCAGCACTTGCATGCCCCATTTCTCCCCCTGCCAAGTACCAACTGGCCCAATTCATAGTTTATCATTTGGCCCAAATCACATTGTTAGGCCCCACAGAAAAAAAATATGTTTTAAACTTGAAAAGCGAGGGGCAAGAGCAATAGTACAGCAGGTAGGGTGCTTGCCTTGCACGCAATCTACCTGGGCTCCATCCCTGGCATCCCATATGGTCCCCAATCACCACCAGGAGTGACTCCTGAATAGAGCCAGGACTGACTCCTGAGCACTGCCGGGTGTGACCCAAAACCAAAAATAAATAAATCTGAAAAGCTATAATGAATTCCAACTCTTACCAGGTATTTTCTTTGTAAATGTTATATTACTCTTTAAGTGGTATACAAAAAAATAAAATAAAATTCATCTCAAAATGATCAGGGTAAGAAGAGAGTATATATACACTGAGGAACAGACCTGAAACAAAGACGGCATTTGTTCATAGTAGTATCTTACAATGTAGGAGAGGTAACAGGGATAATGCTCTTCTGATCCAAATAGTAGGTTCAAACACTCAAGTACTACAGCAGATCTTTTTAAGAGAGGCAGTAAAAACGAGGATAAAATTCTGAAAATACCATTTTGGGAATGGAGAGATAGTACAAAAGGTAGAGCACTTGCCTTGTATACAGCTGACCCAAGTTAAGAGTCCCAACTCCCCAAACAGGTCCCCTGAGCCCTGCCACAAGTGACAAAAGTACCGAGCCAGGAGTAAGCCCCGAGCACCAGCGGGTATATCCCAAAGACAAACAAAGAAAAAGAAAACAGCATTTTTAAATAATTTCATTTGATACAGGAATGACTGTTCTACAGTTCAAGCTTTGCTTCACTCTAAAGGCTCGTGCATCTTTAAAACATCTTTTTGGAGGGGCCAGAGAGATAGCACAGCAGGTAGGGAGGGCTCTTGCCTTGCATGTGGCTACCCAGGTTCGATCCCCTGCTAGGTGTGCCTCTCCACTCCCCCCAAAAAAATATCTTCAGAGACATACAATATACAGGGAAGAATGCTGATCAGTTCTAGGCTCTTAAGATTGAAATCAGAGACCAACAATACTGATCTATAAAGGTCCATAAAAAATTGACATTCTCAGTGACCTGCTGCTTCCATGTAAGAACTTGAGCCAAATTAGGATATGTCTTACCTAAAGGTCAGCCCAGACTCAGAATTTACCTTTCTCAATGTTTCTAAGGAAGCCAATTATTTTTACATCAGTTGTCCTTGACTGTGACTCAAAATCTACTTTCTCTTGAAGGTCTTTGAGCTCTCTGTTGCATTCAGATGTTGAATATTCATTCATTTTAATCTCCAAAGATGAAATCTTTGCTTCATTCTGTGACACTCTAACATTTAGATCAAAAAGGTTTGCTTCCACTGTCAAAATTGCTGCTTTCATTCCTTTAATTTCATTTATATCAGTAGATATTTTCCTTAAAAGATGGGAAATATTATCTAGCTCATTCAACGCACATGAGGAACTTGTTACAGAACCTAAGTCAACTGGTTCTGGTGAGAAGAAAATTGGTAAAGATGGTGATGGAAACCTTGAAGACATTTTCATGAAATTACCTCTTTTCCTTAATATTTGGTAATTTTTCCTTTACAGCCCATTAACTTGTTTCATCAGAAGTAAAAGCAGTGATTAAGCTGCCACTTTAAGTATCAAGAGTGAAGAGGATTTTAAAACCTATAATTGAAAAGACAGGGCCATACATTTCTAAAAGTCAAAGTAAATTAAAAAATGCTAAACAAACCAGACCAACGTTTTCTTTCCTACAACTAAGAAGCCGTAATACATAGCCCTCCGTATCCTGTAAGACCTACTTAAAGCTCCTCTCCAGACACTCAACCCTATTATTACATAGGAAACAATTCTGGCTTATGATTGGCTGAAAGGAGATGTGACACAAAAAGAATTTTTCTATTATCTACCTCATATGACAGCAGCACTTACCATCTGAAGCATATTTAAACAACAACTTCAAGCTTCATTTAGTTTATTTCAAATCCTTTTTTGTTAAATCAAGTAGAACATTTTCCTGGAAAACAGTCTAGGAAGGACTACAAAGACAGTGCAGGGGTCACAGCCAGGCTTCAATCCCAAGTACTCCTACAAGCACCACCAGCCACAGAGCCACAGAGCCAGTAGTAATCCCAAGCATACACTTCTAGGTGTGGTCCAAACGCCAAAAATAAACCCTATTTTTTTAAATGCAGAAAAAAGTGTACAATATATTTGGTATTTCCTTTGCGGGGAAGATAATTAGACATAATCACAAGATGCTTAAGAAATACATGTCAGGTTGAGGGTGACAGTGCTGGCCATGTACTGCTGACCCTTGTTCAATCCCCAACACAGTCCCCCAGCACCAGGAGTGACCCCTGGACAGAGTCAGGAGTAAGCCCTCATTACCACCACTAGACACAGCCCCAATATGCCCTACTACTCAAAAAAAGGTCATAATAATGGAATTCAACTGAAATGATCTGAATTTGAAGATATGGGGAAAAAAAAAACATGATCTTGGTTTGATACTCAGATACCTGACCTCTAATCAGATACGAATTTTCTCCCATTCTGTTGGTTTTCTTTTCTTCATAATATCCTTTAGAACACAAAAGCTTTTAATCTGGATAAAGTCCAATATGACTTTTTTCTTTGATAATCCATACTTTTTTTTTCAACAAAAGTAGACTTTTGTCATACTTTTGGTGAAGACACTATTTCCTTACCCCAGTTATTAGCATTAAATACATTTTCCTTAAGAATTTTACTTTAGGCCAGAGCAATAGTATAGCAGGTAGTGTTTGCTCTGCATGCAGCGGATCCAGGTTTCCAGGTTCAATCCCCAGCATCCCATATGGTCCCAAGGACCACCTGGGTGCAGAGCCAGGAACAGCTGGGCGTGAGCCAAATAGGCACAGAAGGAAAAAAAATATTTTAGGGGTCGGAGTGATAGCAGTACAGGTAGGGAACCTACCTTGCATTCAGCTGCTAACCTGGGTCAGGTCTCAGAAATCTCATATCTTCCCCCAAGCACCACCAGGAATGATTCCTGAGTGCAGAGCAACCAGCAATAAACCCTAGGCACTGCCAGTGTGGCCCAAAAAAAAACCCAGAATTTTATTTTAGAGGCCTGATAGGTAGGGCACCTGTCTTGCATGTGATGGGCCAGGGTTCAACCCCCAGTATCCCATATGGTCCCCTGAGTGCCACCAGAAGTAATTTCTGAGTGCAAAACCAAGAGAAACCCTGAGTAATGGCTGGGTTAAGGAGCCCACGCCAATTGTACAGCAGGTAGGGCAGGCAGCCCTGCATGCAGCCAACCCAGGTTCAATCCCCATTCCTGGCATAACATGAGCCCTGCCAGTAGTAATCCCTGAGTGCAGAACCAGAAGTAAGCACTGAACACTATTCTTTGTGACCCAAAACCTTTTCATTCACTTCTATAAATGGTCCAAGGGCTCCAACCTTTAAAAAAAAAAAAAATGTGCCTACCAACTACCTTAGGACTGTTCACTGAAAACAGTTTTTGCTCAAAAAAAAAAAAATTGTTGCAAGCCTTGCTGAACCTTAAGTGATCATAAATACACTGGTTCAAGGGGCTGAAGGCACTTGCCTTGCATACAGGCCAACCCAGGTCTAATTCCCAGCATGCCACGGGGTTCTCAAAATCCCGAGAAGTGATTCCCTGAGTATGAGCCAGGATTAAGTGCAGAGTAACACCAGCTGTGACACAAAAAACCGAAAACAAATAAATGTATTCGTTCATTATGGAATCAAGTGTTATCCCACTGGTTATTACGTACACTCAATGTCAGCGCCAGAGAGTTCTATATTACTATAAATCTGTAGGTGGTTTTGAAGTTTAGAAATATGTGCTCCAACTTTATATTTATTTCAACAGCTCTGGTTACTCTCAGCCCTTTTTTATGTCCACATAAATCTTGGGATCAACTCATCAACATTTCAAAAAAAGTCAACAAGAATTTT